GGGTCTGCTTTGGCAGAGAGGTGACCCCCGTCTTCAGAATCCTAAATTTGCTGGTTTTATTTTGTAAAGCTGCGCACAGAGATAGGGCTGCAAGTGACTGAAATGTTGTTAGTTCATGATGGTGAATCCTGTGTTAACAGAATTGTCAAGATGAATAGATGGAAGTGTGTCTCTCTGGGAGGTGGTCGTATGCATATCCAAACATACCCATTTAACTTTCTTGTTTATGGCTTTTGTTCAGAGCTGAAAAGAGAAAAGAAGGAACGACATTGAGTCTATGGACTGCTCATTCTTGCAACTGGGAATAATGGATAGGAGAGCCATCTTTTCTGTTATGGGCTTAGTTTGGTGTGTTGGATTTGAGTGTGCATAATAAATCACTCCAGAAACAATTCTTGAACATTACTTTCTTTTTTTATTATTATTATTACTTTCCAGCTGCAGGAATAAAAAACTGGGTCAACTGTAAGAACAAAATAATTTTTTAGGAAAGATGAAAATCTTTTTGTCTTGAACAAGGATTTTCAAATACTTTTCAAATGTGTTAACAGGAGGCCAGGTCCTGATTCAGAGGGGCTCCTGGACCTTCCAGAGTTGTTTGGCAGGGGTCGGGTCGGAAGATGTGTCTCCTGTCATTGTTTAATCTGTAGTGGGCGGGCGGGTGGGGGGAAGAGCCATATTGGCTGAAAAACTCACATGTGGCAAAGTCAAAGGAATCTCAACCAAGTCTGGATTATCAGCACCCCTAGGCAGCCAAAGAATGCATTTGACATGAATTATGGCTGGTAAAAAAAAGGAAGTTAGGACTGGCTTGTACAGTTTGTGATTTTCCAGCTCAAATGCAGAGCAGACCGCAGACTTTGCATGGCAACCCACCAAATTCTCCAAAGAAACCTCTTGTTTTGCCAGCTGCCAGGGACAGCAGGACCCGGGGCGAGGGCTGGAGAGGGCTGTTGTGAAGGACCTGGCAGGACCTGGACTGTACATGCCTGTGGAGTTGCGCTCAGCTTAGAGCGGGTCACAGGTTGCACAGACCTGAGTGAGGATAATGATTTCCAAATGGTGAATCAGGAGTTTGGACTCCTGTGTGCAAGTTTTTTCCAGGCTCTGAAGGAGGAGATGATGGTGCACCAAAGGATTACTGGCCAGTTTAGGAGGCAGTCCTGCGAAAAGGCAGTTCTGTTGGTTAGCCTTGTTGGGGGAGCGTTGAGGAACCAACCAACGTTGGGTTAGTTAGGCTTAGAAACAGGTTAAAAAATAAGCGGGTAAATGCAATCTTGTACCGTGACCAGTGTTTGAGGGATCCTAGTAGGTCTCCGAGGGAGTCATTTAACTGTCTCGTTTGATGACACTTGCTCATTGCTTTTGTGCCTAGTGGACTTTAACTGCACAAAGAATAAGACTGAAACTTAGAAAGATGATAGCCGTCTCCCTGGATTTCTCTGAGTGAGAAATTGGTGGTGGACAAAAAGTCTGGAAGCCAACAGCATGCTGTCTGACTCCGGAAATGTGGTGTCCAGCATTGGCTTCAGCCTGCCACAGTTTCCCTTGTGCATCCATGGGCCGTGTTTAGAATTCAGCATCAGCTTTATGCATGCACAAGTGGCCCTTTTGGTCAAAACCTGTGGAAACCAGGACATCTGATTGAAGGGCATGAAGGAGACTCTGCTTCAGATCCTTCCTTTGCACCGAATTCAGGGATCAGCTTTGTTAAACCCTAGGTGGAATAAGGTCTGCATCAATGGAAACAGAAATATTCTGATCCGCTCTTGGAAAACAGCAAGAACATATGGGAGAAAGAATGCACAATTTTTTCACACCAAATTTGCAGCTTGGAGTACTTTTTTTATATGCTTGGGGTTGGGTGGTTGTTGTTTTTTTGGTCCAGTGGTGTTGAAGGCTTGAATGTTGAGATTTTTCTGTATGAATTGCCATTGGCTATTTCAGCATCCTAAGTGAAGGAAGTGAAAATTAACAGCATTGCTTTGTTTAATGTACTGACAGATAATTGTAGGAAGCACTGTTTGCAAAAGGGCCGGAGTTCTGATGGGCTGCTGCATAGCTGAACCTAATTGATTCCATGCAGGAAGCGTGTAATGCTGGGAAGGGTCACAAGGATTTGATTTATCTTGCCAGGAGTGTTTAGGAAGGAAGACCCAATTAGGTATATATAAATTCTAGTTTCCTTTTAACTGCCTTACATCGGCCAGTCCTCCCTCGCTGTTCCTGATGCCTAAAGATGACCCTCAGGAACTCAGAAGTGACACCTAAGCGCATACTATTAAAGAACAGAAGATTAGGGCAAACACACACTCAGGTCTTTTAGTTGTTTTGAGGTGTTGCAAAACCTATATTTCTTCTGCGACTTTTCTTAATTGGCCTGGAAATCATAGCTTTAATTTCTCTTACTTATTTTTCCCACCTTCTTGTTCTTCTTTGCATCTCAGAGGAAGGTTAATTTCTGCGTTGCTAACTTGAAACTTGTCACACCTCTGCCCTTATGGGTATTTTGTTATGCAAGTGTGTTGGCTGTCATTTGGAGATTCGGGAGTGCAAACAGCTATGAAGAATGTGCCATATTTCTAGAAGTATGATGGTTCTTTGCTCTGCCAACGGTTGGGAATGCAGCACAGTGAATTTATTAGTTTTTATTAATCCTTTTAGAGCTGCAAGCATTAACCGGCTTAAAGAGCAATCCTAAAGATCGTTACTGGGACATTTTTATCACTCAAACCATTCCATGTATCAATCTGGAAGGGTCATTGTTCATTAGGGCTATGCCTAATTTAATTTTTGAACACTGCCAACGGTCTGAAGTTCAGCAATCTTTCCCAGTGACTTTCTCTGCTCTCTGCAGTTAATGTGAAAAATACTTCTTCAGTCTGTAATGTTGAGACTCTTATGTGCATCACCAATCTATTTCGATAAATTTTAAGACTTGTAGCAGTAAATAACATGAAATGGTTTTTGTGAATATTTTGTTCCGATGTGGACCGCCGATCGTTGTAATTAGTTCAGGTGGGCATAATGCACTTAGATGAGAACTACATGTATGCATATCCACGTGGTGTAACTCAATGGGACTGGTGTGGTCACTCCAAAATCTGTGGGAATTTTTGGATTCTAGAATCCTGGATCAAGTGGGCATGATATGTGTACTGTAAATTAAAAAGTACGGATATGTATAAGTGGCCTTCCCATTAAAACAGTGTACTCCCACCTTCCTCTTTTATTGACAGAAGGGAAACCCATTGCCTTAAAGCACACTGCAGTCACAGAGAATTCATGCCAACATTATAACAGATCCATGGTTGTGAACTCCATGGGTCAAACTACACATTATAGAGAGCTCGACATTAGAAAAAGCAGCTGCTTAAGAGCTGAAAGACATTTGAGTGTCAGAGTAGAACCTTTTTCACATTTCTCATTGATTACAAAGCAGGTTGCTTCATTTTCTGATTGGTCAGTAGTGAATAAACACTTCAGGTGAATGCAAGACATTTTCAATGTGTGCCTCACAAGGTACGTGTGATGAATAAGCTGGCAACCGGATGTGCCCTATAGAGTTCAAAGAGGCAACCATGTTAGCCTGTTTTAGGGCATATTCTAAAAACAAAAAGCCTTTAAGGCCAACAGATTTATTTTGGGATGAGCTTTTGTATATCTGCGAATATGTCTGGGTGGACAGGTATTGTAATTAATGAAAGATCACACCAAAATAAATCTGCTGATTCCCAAAAGCATCACCATGCTTTGTTTTTTTTTTCCTTCATGATATGTCTGTCAAGCCGATGTTACTGTCAAAGAGGTCGGTTTCGCTCAGTGTCCTTTGTGGCAACAGACTAGAATTTGGGACCTGAAGATTCGAGAGAAGAACCTTCGTCCTTTGGCTTTCACATCCCGAATCAGGGAAAACTTTTAGGACAGACCCTTTATTTCTCAAACCCTTCACGTGAGGCACCCGGTGTGTGTGTGTGTGTGTGTGTGTGTGTGTGTGTGTGTGTGTGTTCGTGCGTGCAAGAGATTGATTTGGAAATTCTACTGTTTTCTTGTTGCTGTGGAGGAACAGAACAAAATAGTAGTGGGTATTTTATTAATGTCCTGGTTTAATTTTGTCTCTTGGATAAATAGTTTGTCTTACCATAAACAAACCGAAGTAGACGTGTTCCACATGCTCTCGAATTTAGCTACTAACAAGCGTTCGCCCAGAGCCCCCTGGGTAGGGCTGGTGCCTTGTGCCGTTGACAACGGAGCTGAAATAACTCCTTGGTAAGGTGCAGCCCCAAAGGTCTGCTTCGGTGCCCTGGCAGGGAAAATACTACGCTTGTTCTGCTCCTAACACTTAACTGTTGTGACCTGGAGATATTACTTACTAGGCTAAGCATGTTATACAATGAAGGCGTTCAGTGTCCCTCACACTTGCTTCTAGTGCTTCAGGTCTCCGGGTTCTGGCCAAAGATGGAGAGAACACCTGCGCCCCGCTGGGTTTCCCCCAGGGGAGAGAGGAGGACAAATCTCATGGCTGGAAGTGTGGGTGGAGGAGAGATTTTAATTTTGATTGTATGTCATCACTTTAATGCCCAAGTGCTCACTTTTTCTCTGCTCCCAGCTGGTGCCCAGAATCACAGACTCAAGGTGTTAGGGTATTGCATGCATAGGGGTTTTGGAGGTAGATGAGGAAGCTGACATTGTCTGTTCACTTTCATTTGCATACACACACAACAGTTGCACAAAGGTCCACCTTCTGCAATGCCCTTGACACCCACGGTCCCAGATTTTGGCCTTTGAACCTCAAGGAATGGGAAGCTGCTGACCGGAGAATCCTGCTTGATTCCATACCACTGTATGAGATTAGCAGGGACTAAATTAAAAGCTCTGCTCATCCCATCTGCCCTTGAATGGGGCAGGGTGGAGAAAGTGTATTCTTCATGCTGGTGTCTTGATTCTTGTATATGACTTCATGCCTGTTTTAACACTGACGCTTTCTTGTTGTGCTCTAGATTACAGGACAGGCCCATGTTTCACGATGATCACCAACCAGATGTGTCAGGGGCAGCTCAGCGGAATCGTCTGCACGAAAACCCTCTGTTGTGCGACCGTCGGGAGAGCGTGGGGCCACCCCTGTGAGATGTGTCCGGCTCAGCCCCATCCATGCCGCCGGGGTTTCATTCCGAACATACGCACAGGAGCCTGTCAAGGTAGGAAGCGGCAGGAAGCTCCTGAAATTTTGCTAGCAGGCGAATCACGATGGAATTCAAAACTTGCAATCCAAAGCTATGTGTCAGCATCGCACTGAGGAAGATGCAGGGAGGGTGGGTGGGTGGGAGAAATCTCCAATTTATTTCTTCCTCCTTTACTATTTACCTGGAGGAATCTGTAAAACCTGAAAGAAATCAGCAGAAAAGTTAATGAATTTCTTCCGAGGGCGGGGGGGGGAGAAGTCCCTGTGCAGAAAAGAAAGTGCACTAAGAAACAGCGAGTCTGTGATGAAATTTGGAGCTCCAGTTTTCATTCCCAACTAATGTAGATCCATTGCGATCTGATCATTACTAATCTAAGACCCATCGATTGAAATAGCTCTGCTCCAGTTGCACTGAAACTAGGTTTAACACTCCGAGTTTCGTTTTACCATTATGGCTTGTTATTATTTGTTTAAAGGAGATCCATATAACAATCTGAAGGTTAGGTTGCTCAAAGCTGCCGGCCCCATATTTTATGCAGTATAGAAATTGAATTGCATTTACATTTGATTTTGAATCGTAACGTCTGCCAAGATGTTGCTTACATTGAGCGTGCCTTAACATTGTGCACTCTTACATTGCTTTTTGGCTTTCATTCTACTACTTCCAGCTGTATAAATTCCTTTATTGTGTAGCTGTCTGGCGGGGAGAAGGGAAAAGTGAGTGAGGGCAACGGTTACACGCTGAACTGGTGTAGATTTTATATTCCCAGGATTGCATCTCTGCAAGAATTTTTTTTAGGCCTTCTCTAAAATTTTGCCTAGTGAGATAACAGTAGTTAGTGGACCTTGAGGAAACACAGATTATGAACCTAAGGCTGATATGGTTAATCCAGAACTCCCGGAGCGAATCTGAGCATTCCCATGTTTTAGAAATTTGGGTTATCATCAAGCAAAACCTAAGCTCTTTCTCATGTCTTTTTAAACAGCTGCAGTACCTCTATAAACTGCCCAGGCTACTTGTATACAATTTATTTGGTCACGTTCTGACCTTCCCATGTCTGAAATTAGCACAGCCCTCTATCTAAACTGAGTAAACTCCAGTATTTGGAGAACATTTCCCAATCAAATATTTTACACACATCAACATGTGTTCCACGTTTTGGCTATTTTATAAGGAGGGGATTGTTGAATGATTGTCATTCTGCCTCAAAACACTACAGTGTGGCAATGCTACTGCAAGGTTCTGGTTTGAGTTTGGTTTTGGCAAAACCTGATGGGCCACCATCAGATTTAACTTCTTGAAACAAGCGTTCATGTTGGCTGAAAGCACTCAGCTGAAAAGGACGAGTCTTAATTAAAGCCGGCTAAGGCATTTAAGGTAAGAAAGGATTCCAAGTATGGTATACTAGATAAAGTGGATGAAATAGATGCTTTTTTAAAAGAAGGCATTTAAGGTAAGAAAGTATTCCAAGTATGGTATACTAGATAAAGTGGTGGACTAGGACTCTGAAGAACAGGGTTCGAATCCCCCACATGGCCATTCAAACCTACTGGGGGAGCGGAATTGGCAAAGCCACTCCTTAAATATCTCACTTACCTTGAAACCCCTATTAGGGTCCCTGTCAGTTGGTTCTGACTTGACCGCACAGAACACACACAGTGTAAGAAAAGGTTCACCAACTGCCTCTGAAGGGGCCAGTGATGAACTGAAGAATATATGTGGTTCCCCACCCCTGTATTGGGGGAATGTAAACAGAGCACACACCAAACATCCATGTAGTCCATCCAGCATCCTGTTTTCCCATAGTCACACCAAACTTATGGTCCTGGTAGGATCGCTAGCAGGTCACTAGGCTTTTAATGATCTCATGGTATGAAGAACAATCTTGGGCTTCGTGTTGCTGGAGGAGGAAGACGTTTCAATTTAAGACGTGTGGTGGGTTTATGGCCTAGGCACCCCATTCAAGGCTCCCAAGCTCAGTGTGAGAGCTTTTGTGCAGATGAAACACACCCAAGCTTTTTTAGAAGGTGGTACAGGAAATTCACATCTCCTTCTCTCCCTCTCTCATGCACACACATACACATACACACGGCAATCAGAAATAGTTTAGGTCCCAATTTTGTGTTCTTTACAGAGAATCTGGTAATACACCTTCTGTAAATTGAAATCATCACTTGTGTATTTTTTATATTTGAACTCAAGCATCTTTAAAACAAGAGTACAAAATGTACAGTTGTCCAGTGCCTTACATTTGACATTGGGTTTTATTTTCCTTGGCAAACGTGGAGGGATGGAAGTGCCCATAATATGCTGTACCCTAGGGTCTGGGTTGCTGAAATGGATCTACATCCCATATCCTTTGCTGTAATAAACTTAAATATAACAATGGCCGGAATTGGTTTGCCTTGTTTTTAACAGGATATATTTAATTAAAGGGCACATCTCTCTATTTGTTTGTAATTTTTATGCAGGCCAATTGTTAACAGTTCTGTGGGTTTTGTTTTTGTTGGGTTTCTTGCATGATAGATGTGGACGAGTGCCAGGCCATCCCTGGGATCTGTCAAGGGGGAAATTGCATTAATACTGTTGGATCTTTTGAGTGCAAATGCCCAGCTGGACATAAATTTAATGAAGTGACACAAAAATGCGATGGTAAGTCCTTTTAGAACTTTCATATGGAAAGCAGGAAAAGGTTCTCGCCCTCAAATGAAAGGGTGTTTTCAATATTTTGGCACTTCTTTCCTAACAGACATCTGATTATTGCTCCTATTAATTGCACAAAAGTGTATCTGTGAATTTTATGCCTCTCTGTGCCTAAAACCTGTCGCATTCCTAGCTCTCCGTGACATTTAAATAGCTGTGTTCCATCTCTGTTTGCATAAAAAAACCTAGATTTTTAGATCTGGAACAGCGGGTTAGAATGAATTAAAAGATCATAAGGGTTTGTAGTAACCATTCTTGTGTCCAGAATTCCTGACTTATTAAAACACTGCATGCAAACCTCATACTGGTGTACACAGTTTGCCTCCCACACAAGTGGGGAGACAATAGGCATTGAGAGCCAAGAGTTACATCTGTACAGTATTTGGTTTATAATTTATTATGACCTAGTTCTGATCAGGCTTTGTTAAGGGGCTTATGGATCTTCTCATGTTTGTGTACATTAATCTATTTTTCTGGGTTAGTACCTATTAATAAGGTATCAATATCTGGTTGGTTTTCCTGCTTGCATAAGCAGCTAAGCAGGACTGAGTGAATCAGCACATCAATTTATCACTTTGTATCTTAGTAACTAATTAAAGCCATATATGATATTGGAAATGGCAGTACTTATTTGTCTTCTTGTCTCATCTGAGGATGAAGCATGTTCTCCTTGTGGCAAGGATGACAGTGAATCTCCGGGCACTCCTCATAGCTTTGCAATGGCAAGAACAATGCCTTTTCACAAAAAAGGGTGGTTGTGCAAAATTGCACAAATTGCTCAGAAGCTGAATAACAAAATTACCCAAAACTAGGCTGATGGCTGCTTTGTTCAAGAATCTGAAGCCAAGGATGGGTTGCTCAAGTCTTAGTTAACAATCGGCCAGTCTGTGCTTTCAGTGTGTGCATGTGCTTTGCTTCTCAAAGGGAATGGTCCCTAAAGGCATTTTGTGCAACTCACAGAGACCATGATGGAAGGGAGGAATAGCTTTTTGACTTGCTCTCAGCTAGACATGAGGAAACTGTGGGCTTTAAAATTCCTCATTAAGATGCCTTGTTGTGTGGAAACAGCCTAAAGCAACAAGAATGAGGATTTTAGCAGGTCTTTTTTTTTCTACCACTAGTGAAAAGCAGCCAATATTTTGTTTCAGAACTGGATGGAAAGATGGCAAAAGGAGTGGGGAACTCTGGTGAAACATATTTTGCATACTCACTGGCCCGTTTTCATCTTGGCCATCATGAGTAGCTGAAAGCAAGCCCATGCAAATGGAAATTTCTCCCCTTTCTCTCCTCATCCATACATTTTACTATTCACAAACAACTTCAGTCTTACTCCAGCTTCTTCCCACTTTCTTCTCTTTGAAAATTCTGGTAGGTACTTAACAGATCTCATCTTACTCCTTTGCCCTATAAAAGGACATCGTCAGCGGCTGTGCTTTGCAGCTTATTCATCACGATGGCCAATTCACCCCTTTACATATGTTTCAATAGCTTGGTTTGAGAAGACGAAGGAAAATAAATTCTCCTTTCTCAGTAGCAATGTCATTCATGACTATACCTTGGAACTCTGCGTAAGGCAGAAAGCATATAACCCCTTTTAAAGTTGTACAGTAAGGCCTTTTTAAGACCGTGTAAATCGGTCTGCCTCATAGCAGACAAAAATCAGAGAGTTTGCTAAAGTAATGATCTTTGCACAACTACTTAGTCATTTTTTTATTTTGTCTTATGTAAGCCAATTTGCAAAGAATTTGCTCCAGACACAAATCACATGGTTCGCCAGTCTTGCTGGCATAGGGACAGTTCAGGGCGGACGTGGCTCACTGCTGAGGCGTCACTGAAAGTGTTTCGGTCTGAAGGCCGTGTTCAGAGGCAGCTCAGCTCTGAAATGACTTAAACTGGCTTAGGACAGTCTCGTTCCATTGATACATATCCACTTAAATCTGCACTCTCTTGTTTAATGGGTTTGCGGATGGCGCTGACAGAATACAGAGAGTAAGGAAGATGCTGAGCGTGGAAATTTCATGACAGCATTCATGGTTGCAGGACTGAAGTCCTACACGTCACAAACTGTGCAAATATCACTGTAGCTATATTTGCCTTCTCATGGGCTAAATCTTATAGGGAACGACCCACTGCATTAGAGAAGTACATGTTGTACCCAAGCTTCAGTTGGAATGAATGGAAGTTCTGTTTGAAAACTCTTACTAGGAAATTTGCATGTTATGACAGCAATGAAGAGTCATTTGTTCACTAAGGCAATTTATACCTTTCTCAGCTAATGCTCCACTCATAAGATATTCAGCAGGTAGAAATGTAGTTTCAGAATACGCTGAAGCAGTTTTTAAAAGCTTTGAGAAATTTTATAGTCTGAGCAGGCTGACAAGTCCTGCTTTATGCTTGAAACGACACCTGCTATGGAGAGTAGAACATGAATATTTCATTTATGGCCCCAAATCCTAGATGTACAACACAAATACCATAACTTTTGTAGACAAACTATCTAAAGCTGCAAAGTAGGTAGACATTATTTGCTGTGAATGGAGCTAACGTCTGTGCTGATTTTGTAACTTAAGTCAGTTAAAGCAAAGCAAAGCAAAAGCAAAGCGTGCTGGCTTGTATACTGCTCCATAGTGCTTGCATCAACAAAAGTGTTGCGTTCACGGATATACCTAATAGGATTTCAGCCATTGGAGGTCTACTTCTCTTCCAAAGTTAACGGAGATTCACAGCAAAATTAAAAACTGAGCACTGGTTAAAATGCACAACATGATGTGATATAAAAAGTGACTGGAAGCCAGATTTTGGTTGATTATCAGAAAAAAAACCCTCTTCCTAATTGTTAGAGCAGTACAACAATGGAGGTGGGGAATGCTCCAGTGCTGGAGGCATTCAAGAAAAGTGTAGACAATCACCTGCCAAATATACTTTGACCTGGATTCTTGCATTGAGGAGCAAGTTAGACTCAGCGGCCTTATAGACTCCTTCCAACTCCATGAGTCTACGATCCTATGATCTTGTGGAATAATCATTAAACAAATCGTAAAATAAAACAGTGTTTTGAGCCATTGAAATATGGTGGTTGTAGGGTTATATTGCTTGCCCCATCTTCAGAAGTTGGGGTGCTTTCCAACCACACTTCGCCTCAATCAAAATTCCTTTGCTTCCTGTCAGGAGGGCTTCATGGGGAAACGATAGCTATCTCCAGCATCTCAGCCACAAAAAGAGGAAACCTCTAGGAGGAACGACCTAGTTATGTACGAACTGACCCCTGATTAATGAGGAATGAGGAGGGTCACAGTTGCTGTTAGGTTAGGTTGAAATATATTCTGACTCAAATTCCCCAATGTTTACCTTCAAGTTAGTAATGTCTCTGTTTATAGAGGGGTGGGCCTTATTTAAAGCTTTATTCAGAGACTTTATACCAGGACCAATCCTAACCCAAACAGCATTTCAGTGCTTACATTGGGGTCAGCGTTAATATAAATACTATTGTCCTGGTTTTAAGTGCTCCAGTTTCATTGATGCAGCAGTAAATACGGCTTTCCAGACATTCGTGACTTGAGACAAGTATGTCTATTTAAAAAGGTGATGTCATTTTATTAGTTTTGTTTCTTGAATTGGGAAAGCCAGCATGATGTAGTAGTGGACAGAGTGGGAAGACTAGGATTCAGGACTCACGAGATCTGGGTCCCAATCCTCCTGGAAACTAAATATTTCACATCCCTTGAAAACACTACTTAGGTCTCCATAAGTCAGAGGCGATTTAACAGCACATCACCACAAGAATTCTTGTGTGGGCGCTGTCATAATGTGGTTACTTTCTCATTCACATCACGACAGCCTCATCAGCTCGTTCTTTGGAATCTGTTTGTAACAGTGTCATTCATTGTGGAATGGTGACTGTGGCCTTTTGATTGCCTTTCACCACAATTTCATTTCCCACATGAAAATTCATTTTCTGGAATAATTTATTTACCTTTTCCGCTTCTATATCCCAGGGAACTCGGAGGACGCAGTCATGTCTTATAGAGAACTCTCTCTTATGACGAGAGGAAATTCCTGAAGTGTGGAGGGTGTGTGGTGGCCACAGCAGGAGCCTCTCTCACCTTCTGTCATTCACAAATGAGTGTATCTTTTTTTTTTTGCACTTCAAGTCTCAAACACGCTGTTCCTTTGCCTGTCTGATTTCTCAGACGTGAGACACTTGAACCTTCATTTGATTCCATCCAGCTCTATCAGCAGCTGATCTTTGATCTATGGTTAGGGTTTGCTGATCAGGGATCACCAGCTTAATGGCCACATCAAAAGATCCGTGGCCAGAATGGAAAGCTACTTGGAGATTGTGGAAATGGTGATCAGCGTCATGACCCCTGTCCTCTGAGGTGAAAGCCTCCCCATTTCCCCAGCTTCAGGCCTGTGGGACCTCTCCTTCGCTACTTGTTGATGCGGAAAAGCTTTGTGCTCATTGTCTGAAGTTTGACATGAGTCTTCCCTGGAGAAGAGATGTTTACATGTATGGAGCTGTGAATATTGATGGCCGTAATTTTAACTGACCATAGATATTTGTATACTAATATATATCTTCTGAATAGCACTGATATTTTGATGCTGTCATATTAAGATTACCCAACTATCTTCTCTCTCTTGTTTTTTTTTAAACCCTGTAGATATTGATGAATGCAGCACCATCCTTGGTATCTGTGAGGCAGGAGAATGTTCTAACACGGTTGGAAGTTACTTTTGCAAATGTCCTTCTGGATTTTACACATCTCCAGATGGCTCTAGGTGCATAGGTGAGTAAGAAAACTGCAGTTTGAGTCATTAGTCTTTATTCACACTCGATGACATGGACTAGAAGCATTAAAAAAAAGTATAGCTTGGAATTTCAATACCCACGTTATTGCACTATTATTCTGTGTACTTGAATATTGCTTTTTTTCAAAGTGACCTTACAGGTTTGGGTTCTTGTGCTTCCTTCTGCCCCCACCCCCACCCCCTGCAAGAAATAAATATCAAAATTATCAAATTCTGGAATGCTGACTTTCCTCTTTAACGATCTCCCCCAGCTTCAGATGTGGTTGCTTACAACGCCCATTATCCCCAGATAGCATAGCTAATGGTTGGCAGTGATGGAAGTTGTAGTCAGTAGCACCGGGATCCAAGTTGGGGAAAATAGTTCTTTAAACTCCAATGCTGGAATCCTGTTGACCTTGAGGAACATGCACCAGCAGTAATGGGAATGGTGTATATGATCTTGCCGGATGCCGATCACATGCTCAGAGTTGCACGGTTGGTTGAGCGCTTGGAGTGTGTGACAGGTGGCCAGCAAAATGTGGACACCCCTAGGAAGACGGCCTTTCTGAATGCAACATTTTACTGTGGGGTGCTGGCCTGTGTGTTTATGATGCGAATGGTCTATTTTTTGCAAGAAGAAAAAACCTGTTCAGCTATTTGGGTGTCTTTTTACAATAGGCTCTGTAAACAACATACTGTAATTGATAGTCTATGTTGCTTTCTGAAATTGCTGGATGAAACAAACATTCCAATCATTTGCATTTTAAAACCAGTTACGGTACTCAGGTGGAAATGGCATGCCCTGTTCAGTAAACCTGCAAGAATCATGGTACATACTTGAGTGCTGCCTTTCTGGTTTTGGCTTCTGAAGGGTGTTTTTGTGTGTGTGTCTCCCTATCCTATATGTCGTTTAACTGAGAAACCGCTCCCTTTAGCAAAAGGAAAAGATTTTAACACCCCCCTTCTCCCCTTGTGACTTAATGTCTTTCTTTTGTTAAGTCTGGGTGGTTTCTCCCTGTGTGTGTATGTCTGTTTGAAATGTGATACGAGAGAGCCGAGTCCCATTGTCCATGTCCAAAGAGTTCATTTGAGGGGAAAATGCAGACCAAAATTGACATGGAATTAGAACCAATCTTGTAAAATTTGCTCTTGCTTTAGAAATCTGGAATAGATTTACTTTGGGAGGTGATTCATTTTGGAAGGTTTCAGGGTGGGTTTTTTTAAAAAAAAAATACACTAAGCACTGTTTCCAATGTCTCATGTAGTTTAGACATTACGGAGGGTATGCTTATAATAGTTTTCTCTGCTAATGCAAAGTTTCACATGCATTGTTATGCATCAGCTTTCTTTTCCATTATTATCATTGAAAGTTGTTGATGTTTGGAATTTCAGACCACAAAATTTGATTTAGAGGCTTGCTGCGGTCGGAATTCTGCTGTTTTATGTCCTGTCCAACCAAATTCACTGGAATTTAATGCTATTGTTTGATGCATAGTTCTGGAAATGTAGGCTGCGACTCTATTGTATTCCTTTTAATGTTGTTAGTTTCCCTGTGTTGGGTGTTACGCCAGAATTTTAGTTTGAAAGTCAGCCTATACATTTAAGGGATAAATAAAAATTTGAAAGAAATAGCAGTTTTCTGACCATTTGTAAAAAAAAAAAAAAATCAGCCCCTTTTGTGTGTGTGTGTGTTCCTTTCCATATCTCTTGGTGATTTCCCCCTTTGTATTTGGATACTGCTAAAATAGCATGAATTATTTTTCAATGGAAGATGTTTCTTTTAAGCCAAGCCCTGGAACAATGTGGTTCATTTTTTCTGTTCTTCTGTGCATCTCTTGCACCTCCAAAATATCCCTGGCTGTGTTCAAATTGGCATTAATACCTGCAGAAGCGGGTATTAATCTACCTTGGATTTTCTTTACAGCTTCCACAGCTTCCAATTATGCAGGCCTAGCTGTGGAACAGGATTGCAGCCGTTGAGTTGTGTTCAGACCCTGCCCAACTGCGACAGGAGTGTTGCCTGAGGCAAAGAGGAGGCTGGTTCCTCCCTTACTCTATTTCATTTGCAAAAGGTGACTGGACCGACTCGTGGTTGATATTGGCTTCAGTCTTGGTGAGAGAGATACTGTCTCTGAGGGACCTTGATTAAAATGTAGTGGCTTATTTGGGAAAGCTGGGTGGAAGGGAGGCCTTCACAGCCCCATCGACCAGCATTTAGGGCTTGGAGGCAGCTGCCTCACTCTGCCTAATAACAGAGCTGCCAACAACCCGAGTTCTAATGCAACAACCTAAGCCAACTGGAATGGTGTTTGATTTGAGAGCTGTTCCACATATTTCGTGCAATGTTGCAAAAGCCTTCCGGAAACAATTCGTATTTGAGATAAGGGTGTGTGCACACGCTGGAAGGCTCTGCACAGCATTTTGTGTGATGTAGGAAGACCTTCTGGAACACCTTCCTCGGCACAGCTCAGGGTGGCAAAATGTCCTGGACAAGCCCGATCTTTAAAGCAGGACATCTTAATTTTATTCCAGTTGTGTTCCCAGGACTCCCTCAAAGGGAGCCCCTGCTGTTTTCAGACTTAGTTGCAGTTATCCCTGCATTTCCTCTGTTGGTGACCTTTCTGTTTCTTTACAAACAAGGAAGCTTGTTTTATTTACTCGCCATCAGATCCTACCCTGGCTCGTTGTGTCAAGCTTGACATGAAGGCCTTCATTGTGAAATAGTGGCTCAACACTCAAGATTATATTCTGTGTTTTCGAAAGGGCCTTATTTTCTCCTTTCTCCTCATCTGTCTGTCTCCTAGACAGACACAGTTCTTTGAAAGTGTCTAATTTTGAGGGAGAAATTTTGGGTACATTGTGTTCTCCAGACAGGGTACACTCGTGCATTTAAGATATGAAGCCAATTTGTTTCTGTAAACAATGTTGATGGCATTGATTGATTTGTATTGTTCTTGCTTGCCTTGCGGCATGTATCATTTCAAACATTCCCTCGGCAGGGAAAGTCAGGACTGGTGGAAAAACTGAACCCATGCTTGATGGACCAGGCCCCCAGTAGAAGAACCTTGCCATTCTCTACCCTCCTTCAGTTTTGGTCAGAAACAGAAAACCACATCCAGTAATGCAGCATTTTGATGGTTTATTCTAGGGAGAAGCTAAGCTTTCTTCCAGTTAGTGTTCCTTTTTTTTCATTTCTAAGTTGCAACTCTCTTTCTGCATTTCTCTGCAGATGTAAACCTTCCTGCTCAAATAAAGGCTTTGAATTCTGTTTTAATGTCTGTCTGTCTATCTCTCATTCCTTCCTTCTCCCTTCCATCCATCCATCCATCCATCCATCCATCCATCCCTCCCTCCCTATC